CACAATAAAACTTAGCACAATGCAGTAGCATTGCAAGAAGTCATCTACTTGTTCTGTAAAAAAGGTTATAAAAATGGAAGAATGTCTTATTTGTTTCAGAGGTACAGGTCTGTGATTCATCAGTCTTACACAATTCACAGCGCTCACCACAGCACATACCCTCCCCAATGTCCTTCACCCAGACACCCCATCCCTCCACCCCCCACCACTCCAGCAACCCTCAGTTTGTTTCCTGAGATTAACAATTCCTCATAGCAGTGAGATCATATGATACATGTCTTTCTCTGGGGGGAAATCGGAGGGGGAGACAAACCATGAGAGACTGTGGACTCTGAGAAACAAACTGAGGGTTCTAGAGGGGAGAGGGGAAGGGGGATGGGTTAGCCTGGTGAAGGGTATTAAAGAGGGCACGTATTGAATGGAGCACTGGGTGTTACACGCAAACAATGAATCATGGAACACTACATCAAAAACGAATGATGTAATGTATGGTGATTAACATAACATAAAAAAACTAATGATGCAATGTGTGGTGATTAACATAATAAAATAAAATTAAAATAAATAAATAAATAAAATAAAATGTTCTCATTGTGAAGAAAAAAAAAAGGGAAGAATTACGGCCAGTTTTGACTGCTGAGCCCAACTCCATTCCCATTATGTATGAAGGAAGATTCTGGAGATGAAAAGAACATTCTAGCGATGGTGGTGATGGTGAAGTGTTTTCCCATTCCACTATTCTGTGCAAGGGTGATAAGGGATAGAGGGGGCATAGCCATTTTGGTTTTGCTGGGCAGTAGGTGAGGGCATCGATGTAATAAATGATAAAAGTACAATTTCTACTAGGTCTAATCATTATAAAAATATTTTTGCTGACATTCACCTTTTTCCAAAAGCAATATGGCTCCCAGGTACCATGACCCTTAAATCTCAATAGTTCTTTTGAGCTCCGTCATTCATGATGTTACCAGACGTTCCCCTGAAGCACCTCTCGTATTTTCCTTTCCTTTTCCATTTCCCCATCCATAATCCCAATTCAGGCCCTCAAAACTATACTCCCATATGCCTGCAGCATTTCCTAGCTTGTTTTCTCACTTTGAACTACCCATCCCCATTTAACTGTCCTGGATGTATATAAATTCACAAGTGTAAAGTCACCCAATACGACCTATCCAGTCATATGCTTAACACATCTGCCATTCAGAGGTGGGTCTAAGATAAATTTTAATCAATCTGATACTTAAGTTGTTTCCTTTGTTTAAATATCTCCTCTCATATCTACTCAATAAAAAAGTCATAAATGTCAGGCCAAGTAAGTAAAACAGTGAAGCTGGATTGGAGTTTGCATTTTAAACACACGTGGATATTCTTCACTTCCACAAAATATTTTTTCCCCATTTTTCTTAAGAATATGGCCCTCTTGCACGTATTGCATGGAGCACTGGGTGTTATACGCAAACAATGAATCATGGAACACTACATCAAAAACTAATGATGTATTGTATGGTGATTAACATAACATAATAAAATTTTAAAAATCTTAAAAAAAAAAAAGAATATGGCCCTCTTGTTCTACTTCAAAAAATTCCTCTTTGTGGCTGAGACAACCACACAGAGAAATTCGCAGCTGTAGGAAAGACAGTGTGTGTGGACAGTGCCATCCAGACTGACAACTCTGGAGACATGGAACTGTGGGACGAGGTTGTGCGCCCCCTGTCCACAAGGCAGCTGCTACTCAGGTCAGATAACTAGCATCGTATATTGTCAGAGTATGTCTGATATTTTCTCATGATCACACTGACTCTATGCATTTTTTGACGAGAATGTCAGAGAAATGATGTGCCTTTCTCAGTGCATCATATCAGGAGGTCCATGATATCTGTCTCTCATTACATTTGGGTAAGGTGGTATCTTCCAAGTCTCTCCATTGTAAAGTTACTATTTCCTCCTCTGTAATTCATATGTATATTGTTAGGAAATACTTTGAAATGATGCAAATATCCCATTTCTCATCATAATTTTGCACATGTAATTTTAGCATCAATTGATGATTTTTGCCTGAAAAATGTTACTGTGTTGTTTGTTAAAAGGTGGTTTTCTATTCTTATTTTCCTTTCTACATTTGTTCATTGGAATTCTACCATTAGGAAAAGCTGCACCTTCTCTCCCACTTATTTATTTTATTCAGTTATTTACTTACCAGCATGAACTCATATTATTCAATAGATTAGAATTCATTATTATCATCATTTATTTTGTTGCTGAAACTGTCCAAGTTTTGATTCCTGGGAGCTCTTTTAAGTTGGCTTCTATGTTGTTTTGAAATCATGCCATTGATTTTTTATTACTTCCTTACTTTCTGGGACTGCAAAATATTCCAGGCTCCGCTTGCACTTCCCCTGGCCCAGATCTGTAATCAACCATTTCTCCAGGAGCACCGCTTACTTTTCTTGGGAAAATTGTATTTAGAAACCAAACTCTGGCCCAACCTGTGTCGATTGCTACTCTGTCATTACACATTTGCAATTGTTTCTAGGCCCTCTCAGCAGACAGATGTAGGAAACACATACACGCACACACACACACCTCTATGTATTATAATTTCGGTCTATCTGTATATGTATTAAAAACCATTAGTTCATACTGATGCCCCTCTAAAACCAGAAGGTTCTTTGCAGCTTTTCCTTGTTCTATTTTTGTAACTTCTTTCTCCAACAATGGAAAAACTGGCTCTCATTATCTACAATATATTTACTTATTTGTTCAGTCCCAGTATACACATTAAGTAGTTTCAGAATTGGTAGTCATGCTCTAGAGTACATCAAGTATAGTGCTTTTTTGTCTTGAGTTTTATGGTGTATAATCCAAATATTGTTTCATATGATCACTTAGTTTAGTTGTTTTATTCCTCATCCCCCTAAGGTATGGTTATAGTTACCATTAATTTTGGGTTCCTCCTACATCCTAATCATTATTTACTTATTTATTTAGTTAGCTTGGTTCTGAAATATTGCCATAACCAAAGGGTTAGAACTATACAAGTTTTACTCAGAGAAAAATCACTTCCTCATCCTTTTTACCCCATTCCCATCACTCATTCTTGACACCTGTTCTTACCTATATTATGTATGTTATTAATCTCATTAGTTTCTGGATTTTACTTCCAATATTTCTTTTTGAATAAATGAACATATAATGCAGAATTTCTTATACTCCCCCTTTCTTACATTCTATACTGTCAATAATCTTTTGTACTTTGCCTTGTCAATAATATCCTGTAACTCTTACCTTTTTTCTTTTTAAAGATTTGTTTATTTATTTGGGGGGGTGTTGCAGAGGGAGAAGGAGAGAGACAATCTCAAGCAGACTTCCTGCTGAGTGAGGAGCTTGATGAGGGGCTCAATCCCACGACCCTGAGATCATGACCTGAGCCGAAATAAAGAGTCAGATGCTTAATTGACTGAGCTACCCAGGCACCCCCCTGTAACTCTTTTCATAACAATTCCTAGAGATTTTCCTTATTCTTTATTTTATAGCTGCACAATATTTCATCATGTGGATGTACCATATTTTATTTAACCACCTCGCCTATGTATAGGCATTTTATAATTACAAACAATGTTGTATTAAATAATTATGTGCATATGTATTTAATATTGTTGGGAGGGCATATCTAGGACTAAAATTTTGATCTCCTGATGGCTGATTCAATTCTGTTTTAAATCAAATGATGCAACAGAATGTAATTAAGAGTACTCCTCAAACTAAAAAATGTAGTATACATATATACAACCAAATAATACTGTATTAACAGCATTATTTTCTTTCTCTAATCTAATTGTAACTGCTTTTGAGACAAGCAGTTCAGTTCAATAAAAACTTGTCCTTGACTACTTAACCAGATGGCTAATTTTGAAAATTAAGTGTGTTAAAATTCTACATTTCTAATCATACCTTCATTCACTAGTTTTTACTAAAAAATTAAATCTATTAGTTGTACAGTTTCTAGTCTTTAAAAACCCACTATTATACTAAATTATTTTTTCCATTTTATTTTTGTAGAGACAAGAGATAGAATTATAAACTGTAGTCCTAATTTGGCTCCTTCCAAACCCTAAATGTGGATGTCAAATAGGGTGGGAGCAGGTAAATAAGACTGCATGATGTCAGAAGCATTTTTCAGGTTGTCTGACACTTGTTAGAGGCTTAGGGGCTCTCCCCACTTCCTTGTTGGAGGAGTTACACTCAAATTCAGCTTCCTATGGAAGTGGAATTGTGGGTTGTCAGGCCCCTCAGGTCTCCACATTCTGAATAGCTAGTATTTTGAACTGTGAACAGGATGCTCCACAGTCTACCTAGCGTCCATCCCCAGGGCTGCCTCTCATGTGGGTTCAAGGAATCCCTAATGTAGCCCAGGCTAGTTCACCAGGAGACTGCCTTGAGATTTGGAAACCAGAAACTAGAGAGTGTTTTCCTTGTCTCTTCTTTCATCATGGACTACAAAGACCTACCATGAGACTACTGCCAGGTCCAACCAAGCCTCAGAAAAATCACTGGTGGGAATCTCCAAAGTTTTGGCGAAATGTCTGTCCTGGATTCTGCAATGTTAGCAGATTCAACTGTGCAAATCTATGCAGCAACAAGAACTTCAGGTCTGCCAAATGGTTACTTCTGAAATGGCTCCAAATATGTGCCTCATCTACTAACCAATTATGTCACTGATAATATATAAGGCAGAGTCTAATATGTCAGCAGTTTAGTAGGGACCATACTGTTTGGGTCAGGACCAGTTCAGAGTTTTTGAATTTGCATCATAACCTCTTTCTCTGTGATCACAGGAGTAAATAAAGCTTCAAACCATATTGCTGAACCCAACCTTCTAAAAATTATAATACTAAAGGTGATTTTTTTTTTTTACACTTAAGCAACCGTAAAGAAAACAAAATTTGTCAAAAACACATAAAATAAGTTTCTAGGTGGTTGTGTTCTTATGTTCTTACCTCCTCGATCTCGGGCAGCTAAACTTTGACCCCTTCTTAATGTAATGTCCAATTGGTACATTCCGGGATCAGCCAAGGGGACATCTGCATTACTGGTTCCAGCAGTATTTATTTTCTGAAAAACAAGAAATATACAAAATATTAAATTTATTATCTCTTTCCTATTTCCTCTAGTGGGGGCCATATATAGCTTCACTCAAACTGGAAGAAGTAGTCAATAAAAGGAATCATCTTGTGCGTGGACCATGCCATAATCACCCAGTTCTCTGAAGGTTTTTAAATTCATGAAGTTCTTTAGACTCAAAATAAAAACATGGCACTTATAGGAATTCTTGTTTTAACTCAGATTCAAGATAACAAATATAATATGAAAAACATTCCCCATGGATAGCCCCACATAATTCAACTATAAGGAAGACTACATAGGAATAGTGTCTGAAGTAAAAATACAATCAGTGATGAATGGAGAATAAAGGTATGCAAGAACAGTTTATTTCCATACAAGTGAGCTGACAATTAAAGTGATTTATTCAGGTAACTGTGTTGACTCATTTATCTATGCAAAAGGGTCATGCTGATAGATTACACATTTCTATTTCAATCCCAGCATAAAATATGATGTAATTATACAGAAATAAATTTACCCAGTATTTTGACAGTATTTGCAAGAAATAAATACTCAGTGGGACTAAATTTCTAATGCTGCTTTCTGTAGAATAAAAGTGCACAAGCTATTTCTAGAACTAAACATTTTTGCAAGACTATCCCTATAGGATATCTTTAGTAACAATATACTATTAATTTACAGGCATTAAGTTAAATAAACACTTGCAAGGGGAATAGCTATATTAAAACAACACAAAAGAAACAATAAAAATTGTATAGGTCACATTTTATACTTTATGCCACTTTGAATACAACAGGAAAACTGACTTTTCTTTACATATTGAAATGATTTTAAATTCCTATAATTTTTCTTCCAATTCAAAAAGAAATATTCTTTTGTTTTGGAATCATATGCATGGATAAGGTAAAAATTTAGATGCTGGTCTGGCTCTTCTAATTCTACAGTTCATATGAAATACAATTATAAAGCAGCTCTTTCCCCCCCATGCTTCAAGAGCAAGAAAGCAGCTTTCCTATAGGAGCAATTATCATTTAAAATAAGAAGGAGCACAACTTTGACAGATAACCCAAACTCCTCATCTCTCCTCTGGTAACAATAAGAAAGATTCCACTTCTTTTCATGGTACCCCTGTTCCAACGTGGTTCCCACAGTGGCTCAGGCTAGAAATCAATGAGCTCCCCTTGACTTCCTCATTTCCCTCTCCACCACATGCACAAAGTTGCCAAATCCCGTCCACTCCCTTTCCACCACCATTCCATCTCCCAATTGTCTTTTTTTTTAAATTTTTATTGTTATGTTAATCACCATACATTACATCATTAGTTTTTGATGTAGTGTTCCATGATTCATTGCTTGTGCATAACACCCAGTGCTCCATGCAGAACGTGCCCTCCTCAATACCCATCACCAGGCCAACCCATCCTCCCACCCCTCTCCCCTCTAGAACGCTCAGTTTGTTTTTCAGAATCCATCGCCTCTCATGGTTTGTGTGGGGGCCATATATAGCTTCACTCAAATGATTTCCCTCCCTTCATTCTTCCCCTCCTGCTATCTTCTTCTTTTTCTTTTAATTCCTATTACCCCTAATTTGGATCCGGCCTTGGACAAGAGAGCAACAAAGGTGAGATGATTGTCTTGCTCTTCTCTCAAACATCGGCTTTTCCCACCTCCTTGGCGTTACCAATTCTAACGATTTAGGGTATATCCTTCCACATTTTGAAGGGCTTGTACAAACACAGATACATATAGGTTTATTTTTCTTTGGTTGAGTTTTCAGTTTTTGTCTTTTAAAAGGATAATACTATATTTTGCCTATTATTTCACAATTTATTTAACTTAAAAATGTCACGGGCACTTTGCTAATCAATACATATGGCTCTATTTTTTTTTCAAGGTACATCATTTTCCACAGTGTGGGGTACCGTAATCATAATTTCTTCAATTATTTCTCTATTGATGAACACGTGAGCTGGTTTCGGTACTTGCCACTACGAGGATTTGCACTTTTATTTCAACTTCTTGAAAAACAGTTTGTATGTGGGTCTAAAATAAGAAAATTTAAATTCAAATCCAGAAAGCATTTGTTAAAGCTCGAAGTATGTTCCAAGCCTTTTGTTAGGTTCTTGTATATACATTATTTCAAAATAAACAAGCCCATTAATAAATACTTACTATAGATAGACTTACCACTTTCTAAGAAATGTAATAAAATCTATAGGGAAGGAGACATATTCTACCCACTCTGCATCCTCTCTAGTATTTTGATAGGTATTTTAAAGGCAGAAAAGTTTGAATGTTCAGATGGCCGCATATTTTGTAGTTTTCATTGTTCTATGCAGTGCCTCTTGAAGTTTAGAGTTAATAATTTATAGGGTATCTGGTATAATATTTTAAAATGTATATTATACTATATGGGCAAGGAAGGAATTTTCAAAGATAATTTTACCTATATTAGGTTTTTTACTTTCGTTGTTTTAGAATTTAATACTTGGTTAAGAGATAACTTCACTGGATTTATATTTACTGGCTTTTTAAAGCCTGAATAATATTCCTCTGTGTGTGTGTGTGTGTGTGTGTGTGTGTATCACATTTTCTTTATCCATTCATCCAATGATAAGCATTTAGGTTGTTTTTTATCTTGGCTATTGTGAACAACGTTATAATGAACTTGGGAATGTAGATCTCTCTCCAAGATACTGATTTCCTTTGCTTTGAATAAATACCTGCCCTCCTCCTCTTGTTCTCCGTGTCTTCCTTCCCAGTCTTCAAGGGTCATTTCATTAGCACTTATATCTTTCTTGTTCATTATCACATTCTATCTCAAATGTCATATTTGTCATTTTAGATTGTAAACTTTTAAAATCAGGGAATAGAGTGTTAGAGAATCAAACTGAAAACAAATCATGACAGGCAATGAAAAGAGAAAGATGTCTTTTTTTTTTTTTTTTGACGTCTTTAAGGACACATGATCTAGCTGAACAGACACAGACATGGGGATAAATGACAAAGTTGGGTTTCATAGGTGGTTTGTTTCCTCTCTTTTTCTGTTTTGGCACCTTTTGTCATGAGGAACATAAGTGTACCCTTAGAATCTTTTTCTAATATATAGTGCTATAGGCTGCCATTACCAATTAGTCAGAATTGGCACTTATAATGAAACCCTGTCCACTCAAGAGCTGTAATTAAAGACAGACTGCCGCAGTGGAGTTATTAAGTCATTGAGAGAACAGGAAAGAAAGACCAATTATAATGTGAGAAGAATCTGAGGTGACCTCAGAGAGAGGTCAATGGATCAGGGTGTGAAAATATGGGTAGGAGTTTGACAAGTGAAGATTTGGAAGAAGGGAGGATGGACCAGAGGGGGCATCACTGGATAGTGTGAGAAATGAGGTAGAAAGGAAGACTCGTGTACTGTGACACCAGGCTGAGGAGAGTTTCAACCCATGGGCAACATGAAACCATCCCAGGTTTTGAAGAGAGAAGCAGTAATAACCAAGCCTTGTTTAACAAACACTTATTGCCTATCTGCTCTGGCCTAAGTGCTTAGATTTCAGAAATAATCAAAACCAGGCCTTTTCTTTCCACAGGATAGAAGACAGAAGAGAAATCCTGTGGATATAGAAGTTTTTTAAAGTTTTTTTTTTTTTAAGATTTTTTTTTTAATTTATTTATTTGACAGAGAGAGACATAGCGAGAGCAGGAACACAAGCAGGGGGAGTGGGAGAGGGAGAAGCAGGCTCCCCGCTGAGCAGGGAGCCCGATGCGGGGCTTGATCCCAGGACCCTGAGATCATGACCTGAGCCGAAGGCAGACGCTTAACGACTGAGCCACCCAGGCGCCCCTTTTTAAAGGTTTTATAAAGTCAAGTTTAAGTCACAAGGGTCGGATCTGGTCAGTGGTAATGGAAATAAAAAGTGAATTTGAGAGATATCGAGGAGATTCAATCAACTAAATTTGTCATCTGACAAGATGTGGGAGATAGGGCAATGGATGGATGAGTCACACAGAAGTCTGAGCTGAGCCTCTGGGAGAAGGGTGGTGCCAGCAGTGTGAGAGGAGAAGCAAGCTCCAAGCCACCACAGGGAAAACTTCCAGGGAGACCTCCAACTCTCTAAAAGAAGGATGTCAAGAACTTAAGAAGATCTAGAGAGTCATCTCTCCTCAGGCTCACTGAAGTGGCTCCCAGAAGAAAACTGGTAGGCTAATTATAGGGAGATACTAGAAATACATTTTTTTATTGTAAAGTATCTTTCTAAAAATGTTTATTAAGTCCCCAAATGTTAACATGTATTAGGAAAGAGATATCTGAAGTGCTAGGTACATATACAGCTCTAAAACAAGCTTTGGCATTTTAAACATATTTTTTTTTTCAAATTTAACACTTATTTAGTGACTATTATGGGAACTTCAAATAGATCCTTCTTCTCCCCAAACTGTCATGCTCCACACTTAGTTGCTCTGTTTAAACTACTTTATTGAGGTATGACTGATGTGTAAAAAGCTATACATACATAATATACAATTGGGTGAGTTTGGGGATAAGATACATCTGTGTAACCATCACTGCCATCAAGGCTGCCAACATATCCAGCACCTCCCAGAGTTTCCTCCCACCTCCTTTAGTTTTATTATCATTTGTTTGTTTGTGGTCAGAATACTTACTAAGAGATCTACCCTCTTAGAGAATTATAAATATATGACACAGTATTGTTAGCCAGAGGCATTGTGCTCTACAGCAGATCTCCAGAATGTATTCATCCTGCGTAAGTGAAACTTTGTACCCTTTGACCATTATCACCTCATTTTCCCCTCTCCCTTGCCCCTGGCAATCACCATTCTCTGCTTCTATAAGTTTGACTATTTTAGATTCTACATGTAAGTGAGATCATACAGTATTTGTCTTTCTATGTTTGGCTTATTTCACTTAGCATAATGTTCTTCAAGTCTATTCATGTTGTCACAAATGGAAGATTTTCCTTCTTTTTTTT